CAATTTGTATGTGTTTTGGCGCTCAAGACATTTGCTTTCAAAAAATCCATATATAAGTTATGTCTTAAGAAAACACATTTCAAAGTTTACGAGTGATAACAAGTAATCGCAACAAAAACAGTGATTAAATTTAGCCAAAAAACTCATTGATTTTAAATCAATTGATTTATAGGGAAAGTGAGAGTTTGAGTAAACATTTAATCAATCAATTAATATAGAGATAATGAATGAATGCATCAAATGAAAGCAATCATTGATTGACAGTTAGATTGAATATAAAATTCGTAGAGATTTCTCGTGAAACAGAGTATAGTTTGCGGCGTCTCTTATGTAGAGGTTTTATTGAAACTATTTTTACCCAAATATTACAGAATTCATAGAATTTAAATAATTACACATTTTGTACTTTTGATTGTGAGGACAACCGATTGGGCATCAGATCCGATGGCATTCCTCACAACACATGTATAGTTCGCGGAATCACTTCTTTGGATACTTTTTATCGTAAACGTGGAAAATATTTCAGAGTTTTCAATCTTGTAGTTGACGTCAGGACTGGATCTGAGTGTCTGTTCATTTCGTGTCCACTCGAAGAACAGAGGAGGAGATCCCTCGTAAACGGAGCACATTATGTTGAAATATGAGCCCAGGCTTTGACTCCTATGGTTAACATTTGGTGATAATTTGGGAACTGATGGATAAATTTTGCATTAAATTAATTGCTTATGTTTGACAACACTATACCTGATGTCTGTTCACTGAATTCAAGTATTATTTGCAAATAAAAAACAAATAAATAATATTTAAAATGCATTTTTGTCAATAATGTTCACAATTGAAAAGACAACTGAAGTAATGGCCGACAAAAGGATTGTAAGAAGTGATGGAAAATAAGACACTTCTCTATGGATTGATGTCTACAATAGTGCCACACATTGATTGCCATTCAATGCAGATATCATTTGGCGGTTTAGACATCACTTTTGAATTGTATTTCTATCCCGAACTGTAAGACACATTCAAATACCTTACAGTTAAACAGTGATAAATACCAGAAATACAAATGACTGATACCTGGCTTACATTAATTTACATTTTTAACATTATAAATTCATGTCATTGACATTATTTAATTTATAAATTATTTATTATTATTTTATCAAGATATTGATCATTTTGAATCTAATGTGTGCGTGTGTATTTATATTGCTAAACAAGACATAAATCAATCTCATTTTAATTACAAAATCAATAAATTGTATTAAATGTACATTTATTTTTAGACAAAAAAATATTCAATAAGTTCAAACTTATATATTTAATATTAGCTTGTTATAGAGTAATGTATATCGCACACATTTTATCATGATTAATGTCATAGCTAAATTAAATATTGTTAAAGCCAGATTCAATTCATACCATTATAATTATGGTGATATTAGCGAAGGTATCGCACGTATGGATACAATTAATAGACGATATTTTGTGGGCATTTGCAATGATTGCGATGAATACACAACAGGTATTAATGATGTGTTAATAATATATTTTATTTACTATTAAAATGGTGTCAATAAATAGAGTATAGAAGTCATCGGAGGTTAATATTAGTTTCATTGGTCAGAATAGTGTCTCTCATAACGGGTATAAGGTTTGGATTGTGTGCTATAATAAATGAGGTATTATTCAGTATTTAATATATAGTGATTTAAAAATAATTAACATGTTTTATAAACAATACATCACAAGCAATGGATCCGAGATATAATGAGTAGCCCAAGTTTTATATCGCATAATGGTCGTTACCTGGATGCTATTATGTGCGTTACATTTATTTATTCATTTTTGATCGGTTGTCAGGTCTCATACCAGGACTGGACCCACACTTTACACATACTATCGTTTGCCTCCGATATAAGACATAAACGAATTAAATATCCATTGAATTCATATAATATGAAACGTTTGACAAAAAGAGTTAATATTTACACCAAATATGTAATGATGGGTACAATTGATGTGATATTCATACTATTGTTATCAGGTTGTATTATGTTGACAGTTAGAGCCTATAATGACACCAGGGCTAACTTTAAATTTTTAATCACCTTATTGCATTTAATTATGAACGGATTTGCCATCTATCAATTTTTAGGCTTTGTATGGATAGGGATATCCATATGGTTTGGCTGTACGTTGTATTTGAAACTCAAATTCAATGAAAATTACAACAAAATAGACATATCTTGTAATCTATCAAATAATACTGAGAAAGGATATCGATTATTGATTAATGCAATCATTGAACACAAGTTTTTGGCAAAACTGACACAAAAATTAAACAACTTTTTTTGTTATATAATATTTCTAATGTATTACGTGTCCACCCCTTTAAATGAATTGCAGCTCATATACACATTACATCAACATATCTCTCCCTATAATAAATTATTGGCCGCTTTGCCCGCAATTATATTAAATGCAATGAATTTTCAATTTAATATAATGAGCGCTTGGATCACAACGGCTGCCCATAAGCCCCGACCACTGCTCTACTCATATTTGGTCCGAAACCAGAAAATACCGATCCGTTTGAAGTTTAAGATAATTAAATTTATTGAACGCTTGTGCGGACCCGACATTGGTTTCTATTGTTATAATTTGTTTGCAATGAATAATTACGAGTTCTACCAATTCGTATGTATCGCCGGATTGTATTTACTTCTTTTACTCAAATTATTTTAACAATTAAATAATCAACAAATAGTTTAATTTCATATTTATTTTTTATTTTCATATTAAAATTATAATTGTTCATGTGTAAACAAATCAAACAATTTCATTGTGGAAACAATAATAAATGATTTATTGATTTAAATAAAACGAATTGATTAATCAAATCCCAAATTAACATTAGCAGCAAGGTGCCCGCCATCAGCAACTAGTATTGTACCAGTCACAAAACTAGCTTGGGCACTGGCCAGGTAGGCAACAGCGTTGGCGATGTCCACTCCCTCTCCACACCTGCCAACCGGGTATTTACTGCCCATAGCGTCCCACATGCCTTTACGTTGCTCATCAGGGACCGGCATATCTCTCATAATGTTTGTGCGAACAGCTCCGGGACTGTTATATAGTTAAATAATTTTATCATGGTTAGTTTATATTTTAATATAAAATTTTAATATAGTTTATAAATACTTGACTGAATTAACGCGAATGCCTTTTGAGCCCAAATCAACGGCAATACATTTGGTGAACATATCCAGCGCTGCCTTTGACATCGCATAGCCTGACATCCCTTTACCCTAATAATAAACATGTTCAAATAATATTTATTTTTGTTATGTATATCAATATAAGAATCCAAATTCAGAGATTAATGTTAGGAACAATTAAAAATATTTTTCTAATAGTAATAATTATTATGAATTTTTATATCTTATAATTTCGTTTACTTATAAACAAAAGTTTTAATTATTAAATAGATTAATAAACTACTCACAGACTGTATGCCAGCGATACTCGAAATGTTAATTATGTTTCCTTTAGTTTTCTCCAAATATTGTATTGATTTATGGGTTAAATATATCACAGAATTAAGGTTTGTGTCAAACACTGATCGTTGAGTCTTAAGATACTCGGCGTCTGATATCTGGGAAAAGCTTCCAATCCCTGAATTATTGACCAAAATATCTAATTTACCGAATGTTTTAATAGTAGTGTCGAGGAGTCGGTCGAGATCTGCCTCTTTGGTCACGTCTGCAACCACTGGAAGTGCTTTCACACCTTTTGGCGACAACTTTGTACACTCTTCGCATATTTTGGACACATTATCGGCATTACGTCCAGTGATGACAACATTGGCACCACTTTTGGCCAATAGTAGAGCAGTGGCCGCACCGATGCCTGAAGACGAACCCGTTATTATTAAATAGGATGACTCGACCCGCGAGTACTAACAGCCGTCGTCTCCACGTAAACACACCGTTCATATAGTCGTCAAAACCGGAGACAAGTATCAAATAGTTTAAGGAAAACCTCTCGAGTCGAGCGATCGGTGTCTTTGTGTCGATATTGCTTTCAATGAAACCTTCGTATTTTTTCTTGGCCGCGATCAACCTTGTTACTTTTACGCTCGCCTCAAACATGTTTGTTGCCATTATTACCTTATTAACTCACTCGTCAGTTAGTATTACAGTAGTTTTATTTAGACAATGTTGGTGTTTTGAATGTCAACTTCAATCTACAACAAATTTAATAAAACACTAGATTAAACCGTATATTTTTTTGCATATTACGACATGATTTATGGTTTATCTACAATTGTCTCATATTTTAAACTGCTTTTTGGAGACACTTATGATTTATATTTTAAAATAAAAATAAACTTTCAAATAATCAATATAAACAAGTGCATTTTTATATTATATTAACTATAAACATCATCATAAATTATATAAAAGTGAAGTCTAATCAAAATTATTTTTGTATAATGGTTTTTCGCTCATTTATTTATGACATTAATATATTTTATTTAAAGTCAACTACAATTAAATTTATTTCTATAATAATAAAAATAATAATTATAATAAGAAATATGATATATTCAACGTTTTCTATATTCTATTCGTAAAATTGTTATAAATCATAATATAGAAAGAATTATTATCATAAGTTAAATTCAGTATATTTAAAAAATACTTTTTAAATTTTATTTGTTTTATCATGATTTTATTATATTTACAATAGTTGCTTATTCATAGAAATATATCATAACTGCATAATTATTATTTTTATTTAGCAAAAGCGATGAAATACATAACATGTTGTATTCATTTCAAAATACAATTTAAAAGTTTTACAACTTGTTTATAATTACTAATTATAATTATTAATTAGATTCCATTTGTAAATTAATCGGCAGAGAAATAATAATACAATTTAATGCTATAATTAAAAAAGTTTTTGTCAATTAACTTAATTTTATTAAAATTAGTTTGAATTAAAACTCCAATTCTTGATGTTTGAGTAAACTTCAGATGATTTTGCCATTTAATAGGGATATCATTGAATCCACACTTTATTTTTTGCACCATTTTTAATACACTTATTTCGCGTCGATATTTCAGTGACTTTATATCCAATAATTCAAATCTTTGTGTGTAATTCAGATCAGATTTACCCGATTTATATTTAAACAAATCAAACAATTTCATTGTGGAAACAATTATAAATGATTTATTAGTAAAATGAATTGATTAATCAAATCCCGAGTTAACATTAGCAGCAAGGTGCCCGCCATCAGCTACTAGTATTGTACCAGTCACAAAACTGGCTTGATCACTGGCCAGGTAGGCAACAGCGCTGGCAATGTCTACTGACTCCCCACACCTGCCAACCGGGTATATACTGCTCATAGCGTCCCAAATGGCATTGGTTTGCTCATCAGTGACCGGCATATCTCTTAAAATGTTTGTGCGAACAGCTCCGGGACTGTTATAAATAATTTATAATTTAACAGTTTGATCATGGTTAGTTTATATTTTAATATACAATTTTAATATAGTCTATAAATACTTGACTGAATTAACGCGAATGCCTTTTGAGCCCAAATCAACGGCAATACATTTGGTGAACATATCCAGCGCTGCTTTTGACATACAATAGCCTGACATCCCTTTCGCCTAATAATGAACATTCAATTAATGTTCAAATATTATTTATTTTCGTTTCGTATATAAGTATCCAAATGCAGAGATTAATGATAGGAATAATTTAAAATATTTTTCTAATAGTAATAATTATTATGATTTTTATATCTTATAATTTATTTAACTAATAAACAACAGTTTTAATTATTAAATGGATTAAACTATTTAAGTTTGTTAAACTACTTACAGACTGTATGCCAGCGACACTCGAAATGTTAATTATGTTTCCTTTCGTTTTCTCCAAATATTGTATTGATTTATGGGTTAAATATATCACAGAAATAAGGTTTGTGTCAAACACTGATCGTTGAGTTTTAAGATAATTGGCGTCTGATATCTGGGAAAAGCTTCCGAAACCCGCGTTATTCACCAAAATATCTAATTTGCCGAATGTTTTAATAGTAGTGTCGAGAAGTCGGTCGAGATCTGCCTCTTTGGTCACGTCTGCCACCACTGGAAGTGCTTTCAGACCTTTTGGCGACAATTTTGTACACTCTTCGCATATTTTGGACACATTATCGGCATTACGTCCAGTGATGACAACATTGGCACCACTTTTGGCCAATAGTAGAGCAGTGGCCGCACCGATGCCTGAAGACGAACCCGTTATTAGCGCTACTTTTCCCGAAAAGTTATATATCGCCGACATTTCAAAATACTATAACTTTTTATTATATGTTTTACAACAATTAAATGTCAGATATATTTTTATCAGTAAAAGCTCTTCAATTAGTGCCAGAATTATTTGGTTTGTTATCGTATTTATACAACTTTTATAAAAACCTAAGCATTCAAACCATATCTTTAGTAATTGAAATATCTTTTAGATAAGTGATATATTATTAATATTAATTGTATAGTTGTGGGTAACTAATAATTACTAGTACCAGTTACAGTTAACTATCCTAACCCCTACTTAACAAATAGAGTATAAATTAAAATGCCGCATATAGTTGCATGCAATATATCAAGTGTAACTATATCCGGATTAAGTGATGGTAATTTTACACAACTATTAATTTATATTAAAGTCCTTTAATATTTGTAGTTAATTAATTTCTAATTATTTATTACTAATTTACAATAAAATAAAGTAATTCTTTATTAAAGATAATTCAATGTTAGTTCAAAAGTTATATTTATTTTTGTTATACTAGTTATATCTTGTTTTGCACTACACTTTAGTGCAATAAGTTTAACATGTAATGGAAAGTAACCCAAAGTACCGATTCGTTCGCGACTTAAGATAATGGCATCGATTGAAAGGTTAACATCGGGTGACAGCTATTGTGAAGTTATTGTAATTGTATTATAGATTTTAATAAATAATATCACTTTAAATGTTCACTTTAAATAAAATTCATATTTATTTGTTGAAACAAAACAATATATAATTTATTAATAATTAAGAAACATAACAAAGAAAGTAGAATTAAAACATTCAGTTTGGAAAATACAAACACAAACTAAACTTTAACTCAATTGAATTAAATGACGGCCAATTTATATTGTACCGTAATTTATAATCATGATTTTCCAATACCATTACCATTCAAATCCGTGTTTATTTTAACATAAAAACATGGGTTTTTATAAGATTACATCTTAAGACTATTACATAAGGTAAGCATGGATAATGATAAGTCTATGGGAGTAATGTTATTCCTATGAAATAAAGCTTTTAGTATAGAGAATAATAGAGATTATGCTTTTTCCATCGATTTCTGAAATTTTAATAAACAAATTGTAACGATTTTAGTTAACAATATTTAAGTAACCCAACAATAGCTTTGAATTACTGATACATTAATATTAATTAACTCAATCCCAATCAACAGCACCAATAACTCAAACCTATTATAGATATGTTGAATGTCCACAATTAAAGCCAATATTTAAAGATTTCTTTACATTAATTTATGATTTCGTTTTACCAATCTGAAAAATTACAATATGTTTATATATTATCTATTAATTCTTTAATAAAATTAAAAACATAATTAATACCAATTCAAGTATTAAGAAATGAGTGGCAATAAAACTTAATAAATAATCGATAAATTCATAGTTATTCATAATAAACATATCATAACAATAGAAACCGATGTCACGGGCAGAGAGTCTCTCAATGAATGTATGAATTTTCAATCGCTGGTCAATTGGTATAGACTTGTGTTTCAAAGCCGAGTACAGTATAAGCCGTGAATTGTTGGCCGATTTGGTAACCCATGTGCACATGTATGTGATGAGAAACACTATGGAAAATAACACTGTAAATACAGTACCGGCCACGACAGCGATAACAGGGCCAGTATCAGGTGCAAACGTTAAGTACAATAGAAACTCAAATGCCGGTGTAGTTAAATAATAAAAATTGAACAAGATAAACTTATAAAAGCGATTTAAATTAACCGTTATTTTAGTGATCGCATTGTGTTCGCCAATCGCATCCATTAGCGAAGAAAAATTACCATATTTTACTGCTAAACATATTTTGCTGTTAATTTCATTATATTTATACTTAATATAAGTGTTTGTCATCAGGAATAGGATAACCCCAAAAAATGCCAGCGAATACACCTCGATAAACATCAGGGAATCCATAATAAACCAAAAACAGATACCATATAAAGTGTAACCAGAATCGGGTGTCAAATAAGCCTGAATTGATGCCACTATAAACACACTCTCAGTCAATACAACCATTGGCCAAAACGCTTGATTCATAAAATATTTGGTCAACAAATTTGCCTTTAATATAAAGCGCTTATTATTTACCGCATTCAACGGTAATGCCATTCGTTTATATTTAATATTATTGAAAAAATCATTAATGTACAATTGGCGGTTAAACTCGTATATCTGAACAATCACCCCGATCACTCCAATCACAAACGACGCGTTGCACATTAACATTGCAAATAACACCGGATTTCCCAAATTATAAGTGGCGTCCGACAGCATAGCCCTCACACCCGGTGTGTGAGCTATGGTTGTGATCATATACTTCAGACTCACCATAAATAGGATGACTCGACCCGCGAGTACTAACAGCCGTCGTCTCCACGTAAACACACCGTTCATATAGTCGTCAAAACCGGAGACAAGTATCAAATAGTTTAAGGAAAACCTCTCGAGTCGAGCGAT